GCTTGTGCAAAAACCCCAGCAGATATCCAGGAGGCCTGGAGCAGCTATAGCTGAGTTACACCATCTGAACTGAAGCTTGGAGCTCTGTCTGTGGACTTAGACATGGTCGGGAGACTTGATTTCTGTGTCGTTCCAGCAAAACAGATCTCACGTGTCATACTCTAACATCATTGAGTCAGAGCGGGAAGCACGTGGGAGCGTGATCTCCCGGAGTTTTCAGCTGGAGGTGCATTTCTCCTGCGTCTACGCCTACGAGCAGGTGGTGAAACTGCCCTTCGCTCTCACTGCTGTTGACAAGTGAGTGGTCCCTCTTCACCTTGCTGCTGACATGGTATCTGTGAGCTTACGGAAAAATAGAGGCCTTTGATGAGGTGATCTGCAAAGGCTGTGGGGAGCCACTAATGCCACATCAAGGTTCCTCCCTTTCTCTTACAAACATAGTTTTTCAACACAAGGTTTGGGCCTGGGACAGAGCCAAATTGAGACACGCACAATCTACTTTTCTCCTATCCTCAGTGCTTGAAACCAACTAACCAAAAAATAAAAGGTGGGAACTGGAAGATGCCCCCACCAGGTCCCTGTGGAGGTGCAGGTTAGGACCCCCTGGGTTGCCTTTCTCATAGCCCTCACTGGCCAGCAGGTCAGTGGGACCCCCTGGAGCTCCTTGCCTCTGTCCGCACACAGCGCGGACGTACCAGCTGGGAGGCAGCTTGGGGCCCAGCTGTCACGAGGCTTCACCTGGGAACAGAGGCACATCCAGAGTCAGTGCACATGTGCCAGTGGCCTGACTTGCGCGATGTCCTTTCTGCCTTCTCGTTCTGCTCGTGAGCTCTCCTCCTCTCCTCTCTTCTCAGGCTAGTGCAGTTCATGGTCAGAGAAGGACACTTCAATGTCAGCATGAGACTGTACAAGACTCCCTCCTACCTTCAGCCCTATCACCTGCCAGCCGTGACCATCCCCATCACAGACACGCTCTATGTCCTGCTGAGGCTAGAAGGACAGCACCAGCTCAAGCACTTCCTACAAC